TGTACTGAAACTTGGCAGGTCTGAGTTCTGACCTCACTTCTACCACTTCAAGCTGCACAACTTTGGCTAATTCATTTAACCTCTGAACATCAGTTTCCTCATCTGTCAAAGGGGATGCTCATAGGACCTTTCTCATAGGGTCATGCAGCAAATATTTCCTGAGCAACTTTTGTGTGCTCAGCACCATGGGTTTACAAAGATAAGATGTGACACAATCCCTGCCCTCAAGCCACTCACCAGCAATAGGACAGAACACCTAATACAGTAATATGCAGGTGCTTCAGAGACAGCTCATGAGAGGGTCACCTAGACTCTCTGTGTGTGTGTGTGTGTGTGTGCTTATATATATATATAGAGAGAGAGAGAGAGAGAGAGAGAGAGACATCAAATGATAAGAGAATCATTGATCGGCTGCCACCTGCATGCCCAACACGGTATTGAGCCCGTAACCTGGGCATGTGCCCTGACTGGGAATGAACCGTGACATCCTGTTTCATAGGTTGATACTCAACTCCTGAGCCATGTAAGCCGGGCTGCCCCCACCCCCCTTTTTGAGCAGCAAGTCAGCGGTTAATGCTATTTAAAAACTAACCGGAAGATCATGGGACTTATAGGATGCCAGGCATAATAGAAGGCTTGGATTAGATATAGGGTTGGAAATACGGATTAAGCCCTAGCCGGTTGCTCAGTGGTTAGAACATTGGCCAGCGGACTGAGGGATCATGGGTTTGATTCCAATAAGAGCACGTACCTTGTACCTCAGTTGCAGGCTCCAATCCCTGTCTCCCCACCCCCCTCAGGGCACATGTGGGAGGCAACCAATCCATGTTTTTCTCTCTGTCCCCCCTCCCTTTCACTCTAGAAAAATCAATGGGAAAAAAATGCCTCAAGTGAGGACTAACACAAGAAAATACGGATTAAGTTAAAATCTGCATTCTGAATGTGAGCTCACTAATTGTGTTTCCAGAATGCTGGCCATCAGGTATAGCTTTTCTCTTCAGAAAAACTACCTCCAGAGAAATGATCTCCAGACACTCACTTTTGCTTGTGTCTAGATAACATGCCTGATGATCACTTCCATGAAGTGGTTATCATTTCCATGAAACCCGTTTTCAAGTCATGTGTGTGTATACATGGTGTTTTCATTGAACTCTTTAGTGCCTATTAAATAGGAGTGTGGAGCCAGGATCCCCAGATATTTAAGGAAAATCTGCAATACCTAAGAATCACACAAAGAGCAGGGGGATATAATGGAGGGATCAGAAAAATACCCTCATTGATATTTTGAAAAGCTAGATGTTATATCCATTAAATGAGAACAGGATGCTTTAAAAAGGGAAAATTGGTGCAAGGAACAGTCCCTGGAAATTAAAAATTATAGCCAAAGCAATTCATTGGAAGGGTTGGAAGATGAAGTTGAACTCACCCAGAAAGCATAAGAAAAGATAAAGAAATAGAAAATAAGAAAATAACATTAGGGAGTCAAATCAGGAGGTCTTATATTTTAATAGTAAGAGTTTAAGGAAGAGGAGGTTTTAGAGGGGAGAGAAGTATGTAATAAGGCAGTAGATATCTTGTGATAGAACTGTTCACTATCTTGATTGTGGTGCCATACAAGAACTTGCAGGTGATAAAACTGTAGAAGTAAATACACACACACACACACACACACACACACACACACACACACACACAAATGAGTAGAGGTAAAGCTCAGTGGATTGCATTAATGTCAGCATCCTGGTTGTGATGGTATAGTTTGCAAAATGTTATACCATTAAGAGAAACAGAAGTATAAACAGGATCTTTCTGTATTACCCTACACTGCTTGTGACTCTGTCTCAATTTAAAATTTCAAGTAAAGGAAAGGAAAAAGAACTTTAGGGATATTAGGGAATTATTGCCTAGGGCAGTGCTCATCAGTGGCTGCTAAAATGAAAAGTGAAGCAAGCGGACACCATATGTGTGTCCTGATGGAAGGATATCATCACATAAAATATACTTAACACCCCACCAATCCGGTCAAGCACCTAGATTAATTACTAATATACAGGAAATACAGGGGATAGAGGAATATTAATGAGAGGCACAATCAACAAAATCTAGACTAAGGGAAATTCTACGGGAGAAACTGCCAGTGTCTTCATCAAATATATTGGAAGGACAAAAAAAGAAGCAGGGGGTGGAAAATGGGAGAAACCTATAGACTAAAAGAAATAAAGATCAACCAGTTACAACATATGGTTGGAAAAACTAAAGGTATTGAGACCGTTGGGGAAATTTGAACCCTCTGAGTATTTAATATTAAGGAATTACTTTTTAATGTGAGATAATGACAATATGATTCTGTTTTTAAGAGTTCTTAAATATATAGAAATATTTCAAATGGATACTTTTAAAAAAATAGGAAAACAAAAAGTGCATGAAAATCACAGTTCATGTTAGAACAAATTCAAATGTGATTTTTAATTTTGACTAATTAATAGAGTCTAAGAAAATTTGACCCTGATATTAGCAAGTTTTTCCTTTGGGGTTGAAGATTTAATAGTATAAAATTAAATAGTTTTCCTGGATCTAGTTATATTACTTGATCCTTTCATGAAATACTGTGTTTCAGTTTTTAAACTCACAACAATGGAAACTTGCAGTTACAATTCAAGTGTAAATCTTATAAACTTTAATCTTTTGAAAGAAATGATAATGTTGACCTAGAGTCTGAAGAGCAAAGGATGAAAATAGGGGAAGAAAGTGAGGTGCTAAATTTCTCATCTCAAATAGTTGAGAATCAAGAGAAAATGTTCCAAATTGATGGGTCAAGGAATATATAGATTTTTTTAAAGCATATTGTTTAAAATGAAATAGCCACTGGAAAATTAGGAATAGTGTTTATTTAATAGCCTGCATTATTTAAAATTTTAAATATGCACAGCAGGGCCTGGTGTGTGGGATGGAGCGTTATGGGTTGGGAGGCTTGGAGTGGCTGGTAGTAACCAGCTGGTGTCCCTGCTGGCAAAGTCCCAGTGACTTACAGCATCCCCACAGAGGTGGAGGTAGCCTATGTCCAGGACAGCTTCCTGACTAATGACATCCTTTGTGAGATGCTGCTGGTAGTGGAGTTCTACCAGAGTGCCCCTGACCTGGTGAGGTCCTAGGACTCCTACCTGGAGAAGCTGAAGATTTCTCTGGACAGCAGGACACCCAGGGACCAGGACTTGTGCCACTGCTGGAGCAGGTTTACACATCCTCAAGCAAGGAGCTAAGGGCACTACCTCTGAGGATCCAGGAGGCCTCCTGATCAGACTCTGAGCCCCGCCTCACTCCAGGCAGTTCTGGGTGAAGGGGAATGGGATTAGGGGCTTCATTTTCGACTGTGTTGCTCCGTTCCTGTGTGACAGTATATATACAGGGTATCTAAAAAAAAATGTATGCACACTTTGAATATTAATTCCAATGGGTTAAATCTGAAATGAAAGAAACATCAATTGAACTATCAAAAAATTATGTACATATATAAAAATATAAATTGTACATACGTATGTACACAAATTTACATTTTTAATGTATTTATTGCGAGATGGTTAAGGCCCAGTTCTAGGGTCATGCCTAATTCTATGAAAACCTACCCAAGGTTTCCTCCATCTGCCTTTGCATTCCCCTGCCTCATTGGATTATAGCTTACTTTTTGTTATTCTCAAGATTGATCTCTCTAATAGAAGCAGCACATGCTGATTGAAATCTGTATTTCTTTAAATAGATATGGTCATGTTTAAATTGCATTAGTTTATATTTGTTTATTTTAAAGCAGACTATATATAATGCACAAATTACTTTTGTAATAAATTTAAATACTTGAATTTTAACCTTGAAACTAAATCACCAAATCCTTGAGAGCAGATACTTAATCATAT